CTGATTAAGGCGAGTCCGCAAATGTCAGTCTTATGACATGAGGGCCTGAGGGCCTTATGCGCCGATCGCCTCCTAACCCCGCGCTGGAACAATGCGCACCTTCATGTCGGCGAGAGAAGATCGACCAATACCGACAAGCCGGCTCCGCGTCGGTTTGAGTCCTGGTGGCCGATTTCTCAAGTAAAGAGAAACGCTGTGCCGCTATTTGCGATGATGGAGGTCCCGGAAATATTGAAGGTCCTGTGTCGGTCAGGGAATCCACTGTGCTTAACAGGGGTCCGGTTGGTCAGAGGTACATTTGCTCAACAGGCACAGGGAGGAAACCCCAAATGTCACAGGGTCTCACGCATTGTACGGGACCCTCTGACAATGATTTGAGGTACGAGAACTCACCATGAGACAGTCCACAACGAAGCAATGAAGGGCCCTTGCATCAGCCAGGGTCCCCAGTATCGAACAAGGTACCACTCCGCCCGAATCTCGGCCAGCGTTTCAATAAGCTGAACTGGTGTCCCCGTGCAATTATTAGACCTCGTGCGCCGGTAAGGGACGTTTTTTCGTCAGTGAGGACCCTTGCGCCGATCAAGAGTCAGTTACCTTAACCAGATGACCTCCCGTGGCAGTGAGGAGACCGACATATGCTGTACCACACTGAGAGTCCCCGGATCGACCAGGTTCACGTATTTCGTGTCATCGAAATGGCAGATAGGTGTCACGGGCTGGAACGGAAATGCCCTTCAGCCGTGGCCGGGAAAGGCAGCGTGCCTCTCAGTGTTCTATCCACGAGTCACCTGCCGTACGTAAAGACGAGATGTCTGCTTAGTGAGCTGACGCGTGGTCACAAACATGTATTGACATTGCCCGCACCCGTTTGCATGAGAACATCCATCGTGTGCCGGAATCGACTATTAAAGACGTTTCGCGGGATATCATGTACCCATGTGCATACAATGTGTGTGTACATGTGCATATGGGCATAACACTTGCATGCATGTGCATGCGAGTAAGGATGTGAGGATGTGCACTCGCAATCTTACAAGCAAAAACACTAACGTCCGGTACTGCAGCGTCCGTCAGACCCGACGGCACTACCTCTGCAGCTAACACCAGACGTAGGACGCGAAAGCCTTTTAAAAACAGTCCGAAATATTCCAATGCCAGATTCAAACGTTCGTCTCATCCGTACAGTTTTGACGTCCTTTAAACAGATAAACAGATACAGCAACACGAGCAATGCAAATTCCAATGTTACAAAGCGGCATTAATTTCTGATCCGGAAGTAAAGTACGTTTCTCCAAATCCACAAATATTTTTTGAACGTGATCGTTTTCTTAAATGAAAGAGGGCTCCGTAACTGACCTTAGGGAAATGCATTGGTTCAGGAATCACTTTTTCAGATCTGTATCACACCTTTTTGGATTATGTCGCCCTTGACCTCCATTATATATATATACATAATGGAAATTAAGGGCGTAATTATATGCATATATACGCATATGCATATATATATATATATAGACCATTGACCTCTATTATATATAGGTATGTGTATATATGCATATATATATATATATGTATATATATATATATATATATATATATATATATATATATATACAGGGGTGGCGCTATGGATTTTGAGTGAAGGACCAGATTTTACAGGGGAGCCTCCCGATAAGGGGCCTCCTGGACAGTGCGGTATTCAAACAGGAGGGGCCTTATCAAATCGTTATATGCATCATATGCATGCAAATGGATGTCGACGATTAAAAAATACAGAATTGGGGCCATCTGATTACCCATGAAAGGACCTCGTTATCCTAAGATAAGGCCTCCTGTTGCATAAAAGACCTCCTGATGTATAGAAGGGCCCCCTAATCCAGGACAGCGCCCTTTGGACGCACAAAGGGGGCCTGCAAGCCTGGCAAAGAGCTCATTATAAAAAAAAACAGAGCAGCCTGCTTCGGAACTGCGGCCATCTGGTGCATGAAAGGGACCTCCGTTCCAGAAAGGGAGCATCCTGAATATAGGGGTTGCCTTCTCACCTAGAAAAACGGTCTCCTGGTTCGTAACAGGTGCCTCCTGAGCCGGGAAGGGGCCCTTTTTAGCACAGCATTGGGCCTTCTGGTCTAGGAGATGAGCTATATTATTTATAAAGGTGCTCTCGTGATCGTGACAACAGGCCTCATCAAGCAGAAAATTGTCTTGTGATTCTGATTTATTACTCTCGACCTCAGTTATCTATCACTGCCCTCCTGTCTGTCGGCAGGGTGCGCATCTGCCTCCTCCCTTTCTCATTCATTTTATTTTGCCTTTTTCGTTTTCAGGTATTGCCTGTTCTTTTTTTCTCAGTCCCTGTTTTGGCATATGGTGCTTTAATGCATAGGAAAGCTCCCTGCATTTCGCAGAAGGACCTTTTGCTGGATTAAGAGGCGGTATTGGTAACGAGTTTTCTGAATCAGGACATTCTTTCTGAATAAGGAGGCCTTTTGTAAGATTGCAAAGTGCTTAATCCGCAAGAAGAGGATCCGCTTCTTGATCAAGAGGCCCCGTTTTCAATTCGGAGGCCGAGCTCTGGATCGAGAGGCCCTTTTTGTAGTGATGAAGACATTTTGTTGAATTTAGAGGCTCCATGGTAAACCCAGACGCCCTTTTTTGGTCAAAAGCCCTCTTCTACGAAATATTGAGTCGCTGGATGAGGAATATTCTTTTTATACGGACACACTCGTCTTGGGTCGGAAGCCCCTTTCCTATTTCAAGGGAATGGCCTTGCCGGGACATTCTGTATTATGGAATCACCAATGCCGACTGTCGGTCAACTTCGGCTATCCTTTGGCATTCAGTGCCAAGGCGCACACCGGATCAGTGTAAGACGTAGTCGCGGTCAACACAGGACTTCGCGCATGTCACGCGATCCCCGTCGAGGTGGTTCTCACACCGCGCAGAGGCTTAGAATACCATTTCTGCTTTTACATGCACCGTAACGGAGTAACGCATTGGAGTCACCGTCAGTCCTCGACCCTCATCCAGTTTGGGTCCGTTGACCGTTGTGTTCCGTGGTGGTGAAATTTTCCCTAGCAGAATGATTTGCCTGCTGGCCAGTCAAACTTTCACCCCATTCGGCAGCTAACCTAATCGGTTACACAATGACCACACCGCACATACTCGAACCTGAAACACTGGAGTCTGGACCCCTCAGGTATGCCATACAGGCAACAATCTATAGCGAAATTACCGCTACCACTCCCCCGGCGACTGGTCGGCTGCCACTGCGGCTGGCCAGCCGCGGTGGCATCTGCTGCAGCCGCCTAAAGGTCAGGGGTCGTCAGAGCGCGAGGCGGACCGTGCCAAGCGTTGCAGCACGATAAACTTTCGTCACCAAATTCTGTGGCTGTCCTGGAATTCACGATGCGTCGGGTCTGGATTCATACACTGCGCAGTGTGAGCTCTGATCCCAGAAATCGTTCCATTCAAAGGTTCGGCATCGATATTTCTGAAAACCAATTCGCAGCTAAAAACTTCATTCATGCCGCATCGTACTTCCAAGCCCATTAAGATTCAAGCGGCTGGCACACTGTCTAGATGAAACGTTTGCACAAAAGTACGCATTAGTCCTTTCCACGTGTGTTTATTCGAAGGGTGAATTCTATCCCCGCCGCCTTGCACGAACACTTTATTCTGAAATGCATGAAAGATAGCCTAAGGAAGGGTTTAAGCGCATCGCTATCCATCCGACCCATCGACATAGCCAGCAAAATGTATTGTCGTCAATTGCGTTTATGGATTTGTTGACGTGGGACCAAATAATAAATACCGCGGCCGTGCAATGACGAACACGAAGATGGTTTTGACACACGAACGCATCAGGAGTAAGAAGCACGAAAATTTGGATAACACTGACGACAAGGCACGCTCTTTCTCTTGCTTATCCCATTTCATTCGGATATTTCAAGTTTATCGTCCCCTTACGTCCTCGTTCAATAATGCTTGATTGAAAAGGCCTATTTACTGCGTGGAGAGACAACCACGTATTTTTGTAATCTGCGTGGTTGCACATTTATCGGGACCGTTACATGGGACTTAAATACGAGATCGGAAACCTGAATATACGGCCTCAGGCGTTCATTTCCGACCCACTGCCTGCGCAGTGACAGTACAGCTCACACGCTCGAAAACGTATAAACCATCTAGAACAGCAAGCAACCCCCACCCAGGACCAGCGGTCCCTCCTTAAACGCCTCGGTTATGGCCTCGGTTATGAGCCGAGACCCGCTGCAGACGGTGCTGGCAGGCCGACAGGATCACAACAGAGACCACGCGGTACACGGCGGTGGTCCAGGTCGGTCCGAACCTCGTCGCAGCGCAGTGGGGCTCCGCGTCGTCCGATCACCGCCGAGCCGTCACCACCACCGTCGAACGTGAGGCGCAGTTTACCGCTCACGTCGCCGCCTCACTCCAGCCGTGCCTGCGCGGTAGTGCTACTTGCATGTGAAGCTGGCTTGCGCAGCGATCCGCCACAGCCGGCCTTGGCTGACGTCACCAGCAACGGGCTGATCCAGGAGCGCAGGCCGTACCCGCCGCTAGTCGAGGCGGCCGGCACAGCATGTCCCAGTCCCAGCCATTGGGACGGCAGGGGGCGTTTCCAGGCGCGCTTTCAAACTTTGCGGAGAATAACCCGTATTTTGAGGACCCGATTCCAGGGGTACCGCAAAGGACCCCAGAACGTTCATATTCAAGTCACAAAAATCCAGAAAGCACCACAATGTTCCAGCTCGCCATTGACAAAATCCGGGACCGGCCCATTCTGTGATAGGTTACCAAACGCAAGCCCATTCGTTCCGGGACCCTGTACTTTTTAAAGTGCGTGCTGCGCCGCGCCGCTGGGGAAAAAGGCGTCATCCAGCCCCCTCTTCCCACAACACACATTTTCTAAAAGACGATTGGTTGCCTACGTGGGCTTTAGGGCGCATCGACTGCACGGCCACTTTCAAAAGACAGAATACGAACCATCACATATATTCCAGTCATGAATCGTCTACTGCACGGCACACTACGATTGCATTGATAGTGGTCTCGAGCCTCACACGCTCTCGTGCCCCCTCGCTGCCCTGCCGCCGGTTGGCGCTGGATGGCCCTCTGTCCACACCCGGCCGAGCTGGCCACTGGGCTGGCGGGCGGCAGCACTCACGAAGCCTCGACCGAGCGGAGAGCCTGCAGGCTCCACACCGACGGCCTACACCCTGTCAATAGCTGGCGGTCGAAAAACAAAATCCGGCGACGCCTGTGTCGCACCTTGATTCAACTTGGCGTATAGCGTCGCCCTGGCCGCGGGCACAAGGCAAACCGGCGCGGAGCCATCCCCGCTGACATTTCACACACCCCAGACTGGTGCACCAGCAATAACAACGAGCGGCGGTAGATGCGCCGCGCCAGCACCGGCGGATACCACCAGATGGCGACCTGACCATATGGGGCTATTTGATACACCTCAGATTAATCACATATCTGGTTAGCAGTGCTGCACGCGGGCGGCGGCAGTGCGCAGCTGAGCTCGGCTACTTGGCCGGGTAGAACTTGGTGCCGGCCTTGGCGTGGTCCCGCAGTAGCTGGCAGGGCTCGAAGGCGACGCCGTACACGGCGCCGAAGCGCTCCATGTCGGCCACCAGCTGGGCGGCGCCCACCCGGTCCACGAACCGGAACGGACCGCCGGTGAACGGCGGGAAGCCGAGCCCGAACACGGCGCCGATGTCGCCCTCCAGCTGCCGGCCGCGACAGGGCGGGTCAGACGGGGCCGCTGAGGTCACGGCGGGTCGGCACTCAGGTGCGGTAGAGCCGGGTAAGGCTGGGTCAGGCCAAGACAGGTCACGGCAGGGCACGTCCAAGCACGTCAGGTCACGGCAGGGCACGGCAAGACACGTCAGGGCACGTCAGGTCACGGCAGAGCGCGCAGGGCGCGGCAGGTCACGGCAGAGCGCGTCAAGGCACGTCAGGTCACGGCAGAGCGCGTCAGGTCACGGCAGAGCGCGTCAGGGCACGGCAGAGGTCACGGCGAGGCACGTCAGGCCAGCTGTCCTATCTGGTGCAGCTGTCGAATGTTGACTGATTTAGCACGTCCAACGGGGTTTGATCCGATTATGCACGGTCAGGTCAGGCCGCCAGACGCAGGTCTGGCCAGCGGCGAGCGAGTCAGGCCGCACGGGCTGCGCGAACAACAATGATGAAGCGTCAAGATGCGCCCGACGGCATTCAATAGACTTTTGGGAAGAGGGCATATGCATGTGTCCCAGTCAGGCGAGCGTAACTCACAATTCGACCCAGAGTAGCAGGCAGGAGCCTTCTCGGTTAACCGGAACAACCCTGCAGTACCTGCCACTTCAATAAACCGCTCCTCACTCGTGATCAGAAACACCGCTTTCATGCCACGCATCGGCATACAATCCGGACCTCACAGGAGCGCGCGGCACGCACCGGACTGGCGAGGATGCCCTCCTGGAGACAGAGCACTGCCTCGTTGACGAAACGCGCCACCAGACGGAGCTGGATGTCGGCATCTGAGCTGAGGCCGCGCGGCTCCAGCGAGTACTTCTTCAGGATGGCCAGCGCGCCGTCGTTCAGCGGCCGGTCCTTCGAGTCCTTCGGGTACAGGTACATGCCCTTGCCCGACTTGCGGCCTGCGGGACAGCAAGGGCCGACGGTCGGAGGCGGGCGGAGCAAGCAGCGGGTGCCTCGTGGCACGCTGGGACCGCGGCCCGTCGACAGTCAGCCACGCCACACGTCTGGTTCAATGACCTGGCGTTGCGGACATGTAATACACGCGACGTCTACGCAAGAACAGTCAGCACACACCCACGGGAATACTCAATGGCGGCTCACGATCGATTTATCAGTGAACGATGCCTCCACAGCAAAGAGTAACAACCGTCTGGAATGTAGCGAGCAACGAATACATCGACAACGTTGCTGACCACCGCGGTGACCAAATCCCGACCAAACCGGCCAATCCCCGAGCTTATGACCGCCGGGGTCGGCCGTCCCTTACCCATGAATCCCTGATCCACCATGTCCTTGATGACCTCGACATTACCGCCGCTGAAGCGATCTCCGAACGCCTGGCCCAGGTCGGCGGACACGTGCATCGCCACGTCCAGACCTGGGAGACGGAGCGCGGTCACACATCGGCCGCGAGGCGACGTTACACCGGGCGCACAAACCCAGGGGTTCACAACCTGACCCTCTCAGCGCGGTCACACATCAGCCGCAAGGCGACGTTACACCGGGCGCACAGCGCCAGGGGTTCACAACCTGACCCTCTCAGCGCGGTCACACATCGGCCGCGAGGCGGCGTTATACCGGGCGCACAACGCCAGGGGTTCACAACCTGACCATCTCGGCAGGCGGCGTCCGCCGCGTCACTGTCCGGAGCGACTCGTAAGTGCGCCGCAGCTGCCAGGCCGCAGCATAACGCAGATCTGAAGCCAGCTTCACAAACACAATGTTTGTCGGGCAGGCAGCTGGTACACCGCGGTCCAGCGACAAGCCGCAAATGATCGCTCGTGATATCTCTCCTCTCGCAAGATCGCAGTCCGATCTCCGGTGTCGTGGCGCCGGCTCCGGGCCTCGTCCCGCGCCGAGGGCTGGCCGACGTACCGACTTCGTCAGCGAGCGTGGCCATGCCGACAGGCCAGCCGTAGTCCTTGGTGAGCCGGTCCAGGTCCTTGGGCGAGCTGCCCTCCTGCAGAACGCGGATGTTTTCGGCCAGCATGGGCGCCAGGATGCGCGTGGTGTAGAAGCCGGGCCCGTCCTTGACGGTGATGACCACCTTGCCCTGGCGCAGACCCACCTGCGAACGGAGGCCGCGGCGGTGAGCGCGGCCGACCGGCGCCCCACGCAACAGAACAGGCGCGGCTCACGCTTGGAGCGGACGCTGAAGGGCTCGGTGACGGACAGGCCGAAAAGGAACACGGACGTTCGGGAATTACAGAAAGTGCTTGGATCGCTGACTGCTGTAAAGTGGGCCAGCCAGCAGGGCATGATATACACGACACAGGAGTCACAACGGGATTGTCATAAATGTACCCTTCATCTTGGCTTTCGCGACGGTTTGACCACACAAACACCTGACCGCACGCAATTTATTCAATTCATCACTGGTCCAAACATCAGTAAGCCATGCACGCGGCGCTTACCACCCATTAAATCCGTGTAACTCACATCGCACTATCAGACGCGGTCTGTCCGATAGCGCACCTCAACGGCACAGGCCGGTACGGAACTTACGTCGACGGCGGCAGCGGCCGTGTCCTTGGACGTCTTGTCCGTCGTGATGATCTCCAACAGCTGCATCTTGTCCACCGGCGAGAAGTAGTGCATCCCGATCACCTGGAGCACGAGGCTGTGCGTCAACACAACCGAAACTGGCCAGCGCATGTAGAAATCATTGGAGCCCGGGGTGGTTGTACCACGAAACTCACGCTAGATCAACTCGTATGTCGCGCTTTCCCCACAGCTGACTAAAAAAACCGCCTCCAACTGAGAACAGCGAAAGGTGCGAACACTTCACATCTGTAGTCGCCAGCCATGACTCATCACTTCATGTGCGAAGCCGTGTCCACGTCCCTACCCGGACCGCCTTTCCCCGCAACCCAATACTATCACGACACTCAAGTGATGGTGACGCCGATACGGACCTTCTCCGGCCGCTTGCTGACGGCGGCGATCTTGGTGATGGGCAGGGCGGACGTGTTGGAGGCGAAGATGCAGTGGTCGGGGATGACGGCCTCGGTGGCCTGCAGCACCTTGTGCTTCACCGCCAGGTCCTCGAACACGGCCTCGATCACCATGTCAGCCTTGCCGAAGCCGTCGTAGGTGATGGTCGGCGCTAGGTTCGACATGAACTGCTCGCCCTCGAAACTGCGGCGGCCGGCGCGAGGGCGGGTCAGACGTGTCGGGACAACACGGCGACGTCGCGCAGGGTGGACGGCGTGACGTCACTGACGCGTCGGGAGGGACGCGGTTGCATGCATGCTGCAATGGGCGCAATCACACCCCAGTCCGCGCGGCCTGAGCCTGTCCGAACGCGTCCCCACCGACGGAGCGACGGAGAGCGCAGGGCCAAAACGCTGGAACGGCATCATTTACGCAGCGGCGAAGAAGGGATGCCATTGTATGTGAACACGAAGCCGAAGAATTCGGCAGCACTTGTGAGGTCGCGAGCCCAAGGCAGGCCGGCACAGAGCCTGCCGGCCTCAAGCTGACGCGGACCGCTCGGCGTCACCGCTCGGTCTTGGCTCCGTGCCAACCGATCCCGCCTCAGCCACGCGACGGCGACAGGCCGCACATCGCGTCGATTTCAGCTGCACTGCAACCGCGCGGCAATAATCAGGCCACGCGCGCCGCACCTGGTGATGGCGCGCCGCTTGACCTTCTTCTTGATGCCGGCCTCCACCTGGTTGACGCCGCGGGCCAGGCCGCTGGTGTTCATATCCTTGAGGATGCACTTCATGCCCTTGTCGACGGAGACCTGCGCGATGCCGGCGCCCATGAGGCCGGCGCCCAGCACTGCCAGCGTCCTGCCGACAGGCGGCGGCGGTGATGTCATCCCGTACATCAGCGCTGATTCTGGGCCCGCTGCGAGTGAGCGATGTGGCGATAGCAGCCCCCCCCCCCCCCCCTCCCGAGTGCTATCGCCGCTCGTGGCACTTGGTGCCCGGAATGCCCAGATAAGTAATCATGGGTTAAACGATTTTCCACAAATCGTTACTATCGGGGAAGTTCATTAGAGACACTGATTGCAGATAATCGAACCCACCCGACCGAAGACTGCGCGCCACGCCAGAGAAGTGAACACTGTCAAATGGTCCGCGTACGCGGCGCGAAAAACATACTTTCCGACTCTTTTCTTGTCCATACATGTCGACACGGCGCCACGCCATTGACGCTCAATACGTACGAATGCAGCGGGCCGGCACACCCTCCTTTTTCGGAAGCTAACGCTAAGATTCTACAAAACATAGGATACTACAGCCAGGACGCCGCGCACTCTCCTATGTCGTCACGTCGGCGCCTTTAACAGCTGGCCTCCGCTCACCGCTAGCCCTCCAGCCTCAACCAGCTGGCCTCCGCTCGTCGCTAGCCCTCACTCACTGCGAGCGGCGCTGCGGCTTGCCGAAGCGGTTCTTCTTGCACTCGGTCTGGCCGTGGAAGAGGCCGATCAGGCCGCGCGACTCGGGCGTCACGGCCAGCTCCCCAAAGCCGTTGCACTCTGCCTCGTAGCCCTTCTGCAGGCCGCCGTCGAGGCCGGCGCGCACCACCTCCAGGATCTGCGGCCAGGTCGGACGAGGCTCGGTTCGGCACGGACACCGTCCGCGTCCGCCACGCGGCCAGCAGGAGGAGTTCCCTGCTGTCGGCCTTTGAGTTCGGCACATGCATCCGTGCTCGCAGAGAGCGGGGCTCGCCACAGTCGGCGTTCCTCGTGATGTAAGTTGTTCATTGCATTAGCGAGAAACATTATTGACATTCGGGGGATATTATTCCGGGGATAAAAACCAGGAAAATAGATGTCTTTTCCTCGTGATGTCACAAACAGATGGGTGGGTGGGGGTCAGACGACGACCCGCCACTTTGGAGCCCGACACAAACGTGCTACTCCGAGCTTTCCTTGCGCCGCATGCGGAAGAGATTCGGACGAAGAGCCCAGTTAGGCTCTGGATGCGCCACACAACAATGACACTGTTGTACAGTAAGGGACAAATGCTGGCAAGGTAGATCTGGGACGACAAACCACGTGCCTTGACCTGCACAAATCGGCGGGCAGTAATCAACATCTCAGCATGGAGCGCTAACTCTACATTTCCCAGCGCGCTGAAGCCGCACTTGGGCTACAGCTAAGAGGCTCCGTCCATCGACAATACCGTGAGGGGAGGGGTAGGCGGGCCGTGGGCGGGGTGCGCATGTTCTCACCTTCAGTGGGGCCGGGTACAGTCCGTTCGTCTGCTTCATCACTTGACCTCGCGCTTTCTTGAACACCTGGTCCTTCACAAAGTCGTACTTCAGGGCAAAGTTCAGCGCCTTATCTGCAAGCCCCTTATCTCGTTTCGGCTGCAAGTGGAACATAACACCTTTCACAGTTATGGATACACATCAGCTGTGCCCATGTAAAGATACAACACCGCACATACAGTGGTGACACTCACGTTTGATCGGGGTAATGTGCTGTGTTGAAATTCCCATACCGAGAACCAAATCGTATAAACTGTGAAGAATCGAAAGTCTCAAGGTTGGACTTCCTCAAACATACATGACAATGCCTATGACAACGCAGTTTCAGTGCACAAGCCTGCGACCGGTGTGATCTTGTCACCCCTCGGGTGGCATTATGTCCGGGAACAGCTGGTCGGCATAAATCCGCTGACCGCGCAGCCAGCACAACGGTCCGAGCCCCGGGACGCTGCACGGAATGATGAGCATTCCCGCCCCGCCCAGCGACGGATGCTCAGGCAGCCGGCCAAGGGGCCGCACGCCAGCAGCGGCGGCGGAGCCCCGCTGTCATATCAACCGCATACTATCATCCGGCCGCGTCCAACGTCCCGTCAGTGGTCGACAAGCTCGGCCGCAGGGTCGGCCAGTCGGCTCACCTTGAGGCCGCCGGCGGCGAGCTGCGAGGCCGTGCCCACCGCCACCTCCTCCAGGTACTCCAGGGTCCTGCCCGACACGTGAGGAGCAGCGTCAGCCGGCGAACGGGGCACGCTCAGGCCTGGCTGGCACGGGTGGCCTACGCCTGCTGCGACCAGTCGCAATCAACGGAACTTAGTGACAAACCAGGCACCGACCCATTCATCCAGCCGACTACTGACCTTCGACCTTAGGTCGCTGCTGTGTCATTAGCGTGCTTCTGATCGCGTCCGCCACTCGTTCAATGCTCGTCCGAAGCTCAGTGTCATACGCTCCCCTCCTCGTAACGCCGGCGGGACCGGCTGCAGTATACCACACTCATGTACAACCTGACCCTTCCCCTCCCCTGCCATCCCCGTCCGTGCGTGGCGTCTCGAGCGATCGCGTTCCCGCCCGGCGCCGCCCCACGCACCGCTCGTCGGCCGACTTGAGACCGGGACCGAGTGGGACGATGAGCGCGTCCACCAGGCCCAGCTTCTTGGCCTTGTCGGCCTTCACCATCTTGCCAGTGAGCGCCATGTCGAGCGCCGTGGGCACGGACGTGAGCCGCGGCAGGCGCTGCGTGCCGCCGCCGCCCGGCAGCAGGCCCAGCAGCACCTCCGGCACGCCCAGCGACGCCTTGCCCTTCACCGCCACCCGATAGTGGGTGGCCAGCGCCACCTGGCGTGCGGCGCGGCGTCAGAGGTCAGAGGTCACGCTCGCCGGCTGCGGGCGCCGGCGGCGCAACCAACTGCTGGGGCAGCGTTGTACGACGTAATGGGCGGAAGACTGGAGGGAGCTTGAGGCCAGGGTATACAAGCATACACGCATCAGAAGCAGGGTCACTGCCTAGTCCATACGTCCTCACCCATCCTGGTCATCATCCTAATCTAGGATGACTTAGAGCAGCACAACAGTCTCTCCTGCCTCCCTGTTGCAACGATGATTTGGGTTTTAGGGCGTGCCGACTGCGTTAGCATATAGCGCCAATTCTCGCTATTAGCACCACACGCCAACGTAAACAAGACGACTGCATCAGCTTCGCGGTGACGTCGGCGTCATCCTGTCGTCATCTGGACGTCATCACTCCGTCCGGAACGACTCAGAGCAAAACCGAACGCAGGTTCCCGCCCCGGCCGATCACCACACACCTCAAGGCCGCCGCCCAGACAGGAGCCCATGATGGCCGAGACGAACGGCTTCTTGCTGGCCTCCACCTCGGCCAGCAGGTCCTGGCAGGCCTTGGAGAGCTCCCGCGCCTCAGCCGCCGACTTCACTCGCTCCAGCATGCTGATGTCGGCGCCAGCGATGAAGTTGGCCGGCTTGCCCGAGATCAGCACGGCCGCCTTCACGGCTGGATCGGCCTGCACCGCCTCCAGCATCGCCTTCATCTCCTCCATCACCGGCTGGTTCAGTACATTCACCTGGCGACGAGGACGGAGGATGCAGACAGTAAGATGGGCGCTTGTGAGAAGCACGCACTGGCCAGTTCAGCCGAGAGCACTCTTCGCCCAGGTGCTTAAAATCCATGCGGTCCACCGTAACCTTTGGAGCGGAACGTACGCCATAGCGACGCAAAAACTCGGCGGCCCTTCACTCGCCCTACTAGGAAATGCCAAGCCGTGGGCCAGCAAGGAATGTGAATTCGAAATATGGAACAGAAATGTTGTTTGAGTTGCATCAAGGCAGTAGATGATCTCAAAACATTTTGTTACATTGGCTCAGTACCCCATATTGCCCCGGTAGTGGAAAAACGTGATTAAAAGTATGCCAATGCCTGTAAATCTTTGTTGGCTCTCAATATCTCTTAAGCGTCAGTGGGCGATTACTGCATGGTAATTCAAGAAAGGGATGAAAAAATTTGAAGGTGAACTTACAAAATAATCAAAAACTGACAGTTACATCCATGATTTCTCTTCTGGCAATCATATTTAAAGCTTAAATCAATCTGACCTTTGGGTGAACAACCACTGGCATCTCAGTCAAAAACAAATTAGGGCGATCAGTTCTTTAGGTTGCTTATTTATTCGCCAATTTCCGCCCTTCCGAATCGTACCCAGCCTGTGCATGGCCAGCACGTCGTTAAGCCAGGCATCCACAATCTCACTCTCCGTTACCTTTCCGGGCGAGTCGATCCGGATGACAGCCACATCGTTTTTCACCTCCATCTTCATGTGCTGGTTGGCAGAGGCCATGTTCGTGGTGGCAAACATTCGCCATGAGACCACTTTGCGAACTGCAATGGAAAACAATGAAATGATGTGGCCAGAAATATTAATTTGTAGCTCATCCTGGGCTGAATACTTAGCAGACAGGGAGGGGAATTACTCTATGAAACAGATCCTAGATCCAATTAGCTGCACCCAAATGACTGTCACCACAGGATAATGTAAATGTGCTGAAAGAACTGTCCACTATAAGGTCAGATTTGTGGGGTTTCAATTTGTACCAACCTAATGATAATAGCACACTCAAGCCATGCAGAGACTATGCTAATGGTACAATGTGCTGGAATAAACATCTGAAAGGCATTCTTCTGCCATTCCTGTGAGCCTACCACAGCCAGCTTCTGTCTTCTGGCCAAAGCCTGCAGGTACACATTACATTTTAATTTTCTACAAGCCCTGGAACTGCGGGATGAGGCCAACATGCCTCTCATAATGTTTGGTGTGAGCCTCCTGAACATTCAGCTTTGACCATAGATGAAATGATAAGCAAGATGTATATGGGGCCAGGCAAGCCCCAGAATAGGATCAGCATTATCACTCATGAGGTAGCTAATGAATGGCAGGTGTTTCTTAAAATTATGTGGTAAAAGTACACTGCATGCACCTATCTGACAAATGTGCAGTTAAAGTCCTGCATAACAGAGTAGATCATGGTATATAAAAATCAGCATTTTGTCCCTTGCTGTTGTGGCACAAAAGCAAAAGTTCACTTGGGAAGGTGGCTTAAATATTTTCCAGAAGCATGGTACTCACAACTTATCACTAAATCATTGGTGCACATAGTACCTCCATTTTTATCACCATTTTTTAACAAAATCAAACATTTTATCAATCATTTTGCAGCTACATACATCCAAGCTAAAATAATGCTATAAAACTGTGCACACCAGTCACAAACAACCTCAATCAACTGCTGCATCTATACTTTCTTAAGACACTCAGCTCATTATGACACAGCTTTTCATGAAAAAATTCTAACCCTCTAATCAGATGGCCCTTTGGGACCTGCGCTAAAGCCTATCAGTGCATTCAGAATACCCGTGTTTTCTCCAACACTTAGTTGAGAAACTAATGCCTTCTGGGGTGAAAACACTTGCAAATGCCCCAGCTTCATTACCATGGGTGGATTTACATGCAATAATTATAATCCACTGCAATCATCTCAGCCGCTAAAACCAAGAGACATACGTGACGCGTGCCAGTCAACACGAATACCGTCCAACGAGTAAACACAAGCTGCAATGTGGTACTTACGACGTGAAGATAGCGGCAAAGGCCGCGAAAACTGACGGAACGCGCTGGCTGCTATTAACGACGACATCTTGTACAAATATACGTCTAAAAAACACCCAAGCCTCGGACCCTGCGCTTTTCGCCGCAAAAGGGTGTAGTGATGGGCATGTACCCAAACCACGGAGTTAACGTTAAACTACTGCCATTTTCTTGAAAAGATAAATACACGAGGTTGGCACGGGTGCTTTTTCGGCTCCATTCAAGGCAGAAGATATTTAAACATCGTGATGAATTTTCTACTGCTTGCCGCAGCCAAACTCATCCTGCAAATGCAAGTGTTGAAAATGCTTCTCTTCCTTTCCCGGAAAGAAAAAATGATCGCACCAGTGCTCAGCAAACTGGGTCGAAATCAGTCTAAAATAAACAAGTTCATCCAATGTTTGTCTGAGAATGTGCATTCTCTTGCAGAATCGAATACTAAAATTTACATCTAAGGGTTTGAGCTTGCGCGGCCGCAATCTCGGTTGCATGGGCAGCGATGGCCTAGGTTGCAGTTTCCGTAAAACTGAACGCCGTTGGTCACTGCAAGCACCATCAGATGGCGGTTGCCATGCGCGCGAGAACGACTGTCGTAAACTGATAGCTCAGAATGTCTTTCAGAATTTATCGTACCGCTCAAAGATGGCACTGATTGCATCTTACTATACCAGGTTTTGATACTGTACTAATTAACGGTCAGAGCAATACGAAAAATAGAGATAACGCTTTTTTATCTTCCAGTTCCACCACCAGATTCCATCACCATTTCGCAGTGATGTAACATCCAATCCGTTCCTGTACGTCAATGTAAAAAAGAGAAACACATAGGTAAGATATACTCCCAGACTTCCTTACAAATGTACGATCCGATTTGTAAGGCGTTGAAAGGCACTTCTTTCGAGTGGGTCATCATTTTCGTCCACCCGTTGGCCACGTCTTAGTGTTAGCCACAAGGTTGACGCTGCGCGATCTTTGGAGACTGCAACGCCTGGAATCGAGGCTCTTTTGGCCGAGATCCGCGGGCGAGCGTGCTCAGAACTACGTTATGTAATTTGTATCACGTATCAAATCTACCCGAATGTAGACCATTTCCAGTCAAACATCGCCGGACCATGTTGACATAAATAGTTGACACATTTCGATCTTCATTCGCGGGGTTCTTCATATCTTGATCTCTTGATATCTTGTGCACTTCAGATAAATATTCTGACAAAGCTTCTGACACTTTTTTCGGTTTAAAAAGAGTTCACTAGATCATTGTAAAAAACCGATGATTTCCTTCATGCGGCCGTTTCACTCATGACTTCCTCAGATTGTTGACAATCAAATTGAGGCAGGAATTGATCTCGTGGTAACTTCTGGCTTTTTTCCAGTAATGGAAGATAAAAATGAAAGATAAAAGAACATGAAAGCAAAGAAAAACACGCTCTCAGTAACAAATGGGCCATATCTGGTGATTTATTTCTTGCGGTCCGTTTTGCTATTAGGGGTCGCCTTGTGAATCCTCCCCCCCCCCCCCCCCCCCCTGTCTAGGCTTTGGCTGCGCGCCTGGCCTACCGTACTCTACTTTATCGACAAATTTACGTAAGATGATTATTGGGTGATAAAGAATACCTAATATTTGCCGAACTAACACGTCCAACCAATCAGTGCATCTTAAACACGCGCCCGGGTGGCCGATTGAATACCCTTTGCTCGGGTGGGGGACTCTGTTTGACCCCCTGAGACCCCAGGAACTAAAAGAGTTAGAGACACCACATTCACACAGTGTATTTGTCTGTACATGAACTCGCTTAGGTCAATGTTTAAGGTTCTTAAGTCATGACCTTCGTGTCAAATAAGGTCAAATAAGGTTAAACTCCAGACTGATCTCTAAATTGCCCCCAGGACCTAGATACCTGTTCGAAGCAAACGTTCACACGCTCATTTAATGTCAGTGACCTTGTTTAACCCTTCGAAGGTCATGTTGACCAAAATCATACAAGACTGCTGTTCAGTAGCATGAGTCTGGATTGAATGTCATTCTACGGCTGGCGCCGGCCAGCTCCCCGGCGACGTCAGGGTTTGCAGAAAAATACCGACCGAGTTAGTAGAAGCCAGCGGGCGCAAGGCGTTTGTGCGTTTGCGGCTTGTGCGTTTACTTTGTTCCTGTAATAAAGAAATTGTGGACGTAGCAGTTGCTTTGAGTTTTGCATTTGAAAGAGCGACGAATATTACATTAGCCAGTATATTCATAACAACAAAATGTTGGCATGGGTTATTTTAGATCAGTGACCTATTGGGACCTTTAAGAAGTCCATGGAAGATGTATAATGGGGTTCCTGTTATCAATGAATTCGAAATGAGCGCCAGAAACTACCCCATATATCAAGCCCTGGAGTAATAAAACATGCTGGTTTTACATTGGTCTGACCTCCATACCTGACCCTAAGTCAATGCATTTTGTTCATTCAATTGTTGTGCTGCTAAGAAAAATATTTTAGAAATGTGTGGCTTTGTCTAACACTCCGTTACTGCATCAGATTGAAGAATTCCCCAGAAATGGACTTTGTTGAATCCATGGCCTGACTTTGACCTGCCATAGGTCAGCAACCTTACAAGGTACATCTAAATTTGCATACTGGACGATCCAATATTCAATTGTCTACAATTATGCAAAATTTGGTGCTGCTACGTCGCGCCGTTTGAAAACCATCTTGAAAAAACTTTGGATCATCAAATCGATCCTCGCCCGAACGCCTATTAACACTCGCTCGAATCGGGGTTCAATTTGATACCCTCCATATATCTTTCTGCAATGTTTCGTAGGGTTCGGCGTAGCCGCGCCCAATTTTGCACAGCTAGAGACAATTAAATAGCGGATCGTCTGATACCAAAACTTAAGATGTGCCTCTTTAGGCCACTGGCCGACGGCAGGTCGACGCCAGGCCGTGGATTCAATTTCAAGGAATTTCTTCAATTTCTAGGAAATCGTTCAATCTGACATAACAAACGGAATGCTAGACGAAGCCATATATCTGTGGGAAAGTTTCTTAAAATACAACCCAATTGAATGAACAAATTTTATTGACATAGGGTTAGCTATGAAGGTCAGACAAAGGTTGAAGCCAACCTGTTTTTTTTTTCTCTGGCGCTTGCTATGCGGAGAAGTGCAAGGTACAAACGGCCAGGTGATGGTTACTGAAGTGGCTGGTTTCGACGCCCGTGTGTTCGATCTTGTTCGGAGAGTTGGTGATAGCTGCGCCGAGCGATCATTCTTATTCAACCGGTAACTGGGACATGAGTGCAAACAAAATTTGTGCCTAAGCGAAAAGAACAAATAAACATCCGCTTAAGCCGACGCACGTAATGCCTGGCTGTCTCCGTGCAGCCTGCACACGATGTCACCCATGACGAGCGCCGATCGCATGCACACCGCTCTGCACAAGACAGATGCTAGGCTGCCGAAGGCTTGACCAAGGATCTTCCCTCAACTTCGCACGCGCATAAACCAACTGCACCACCGAAGTGGTCGGAACACAGAGAGATACGTGCTTGAAACATGTGGCATGTGATATGTGGCCGTGGCATGAAACATGTGGCATGCGTGTGGCCGAAAATCTCTCTCTCTCTCTCTCTCTCTCTCTCTCTCTCTCTCTCTCTCTCTCTCTCTCTCTCCTCCTCTCTCTCCTCTCTCTCTCTTCTCTCTCTCTCTCTCTCTCTCTCTCTCTCTCTCTCTCTCTCTCTCTCTCTCCTCTCTCTCTCTCTCTCCCTCTCTGCCTCCCGCTCTCTCTCTCCTCCGTGAAGCTCGTTCGCAGATGACACCTAATGAAGTGTCCATTTGTGTACCAAAGTTTAAAGGGGTTAAGTGGTGTACCCGATTTTAATTTCTAAGCAAACTTCTCCTGTCATACAAGGGCATTTGCAATATTTTGTAGCTTGTATTGATCGGAATACCTTATGTTGCGGGACAGTATTGCAATATCAAGCAATACATCCTATGAAAGATACGACGCGGTGCTCAATGAAGACATCAGCGCGGTAAAATGTTTAGTACACTAACATGTGACCACCAAATCAACCTTTGAGCGCATATGAATATCAGCTACGATAAACATGACAAGGCTAAATCATAATGAAGTGACCGAGTACACTTCTTCACCTTCCACTTCTGTTTTCCCATACCTGACTCGCAGCTTTTGCGGATCGCTCTGAAAAGTGTTGCGGAATACTTCCTGAGCGTCGATTCACATTGACTAAATAATCGAGCAGTGCGTGCTGACTTCTTGCATGGTAGGTGTGTCCAGGAAGATAAAATAATACGAATCATTTTAAAAGGTCATGAAATGCTTCGGTTCATAAATGGTCATCCCAGCCATACCACAACCTAATTTGCTACTAATTTTGTGTTATCAATTTAGTGCCTGTCCCAATCGGTAGTCGTTACCTTATGGTTACCAAAGTGGATTTTTGCTGACTGGTTCAACCAGGGGGTGTATGCGCATTGCACAAATACTTGGTCTTTGAAGACTTTGTTACACAACGTTAAGCCACGTAGTATATAGCGTACACATGTACGTAATTACGTCAATTATCAAATTCCCTCTATCAACAGTTACGTTCTGCTGCATGTGCTTTTCACGATGGAAACTGCAAATCGTGCCAATCGTAACGCATAGCGTACATTTTATTTACCTTATGGCGGTCACAGGCCGGCAAATTCACTTGTTTAACAAATGAACCCGTTGCGCCATTTCTGTCTCACTTTGATCAACTAGCGGAAAAAGATTCTGGCCGTACGGCATAGATTGTACGAGATGCTGCGCCGAGTCCCTAGGCATTGAGCCTGTGCTGCCAAGTCGTTGCGAACACACCAAAACCAACAGCCGCACAATATGCGAGTGAGACACTAACGCTTCTGAGGGGTCTAAACCGCTCACAGGGCACGCACAGGAAATCCCCGAAATCTGCTCCAGTTTCGGCCGATCGAGGACGTCTAGTATTTTGCAAAACAGGAGATGTGCAGAGCGGCTGGGTGGTTACCTCCATCAACCAGCTGAAGCATCGTATTCGCCAGGTACTGGCTGTCATTGATGGGGAGGTATCGCGCAGCAGGGTAAGAGTGGGAGAGCGTTGTGC